AATTCGATTACTTTTATCTCTGGCATTCAACAATTACAACTTTACCTTTTCTTTTGGTTTGGAGCTGGGGTGAAGAAAGGTTTTCTTTCAGTTGCGTGACAAAGCATTTAATTGTATAAAAATAATGTGTTAAGTTCTATTTGCTTCATTTTTGGGGCAGAGAATAAAAAATTGACAGTCATTTGAGGGTATTGGGAGGAATGCAGTCCAAGTCTGAAGGTGGAAGTCGATTAGAACGTGATCTGCATGGTGTTCCTCCAACTGCAGTTTATTCTGAGCCTTGGTGGCGTAATATTGGTTATAGTACCATCTCCCCAGGAGTGAGAGGAGGAAATACATCAAATTCATCTTCAATGGAATGCCCTAATGGTTCAGAGTCAAATGATGGCCGGTCACTCTCCAATGGTGGGGTAAATGAGGAGGATGATGGTAATAAAGAAACACAAACCACTGCGTCCTCCCAGTCAGGTACTTCGCTTAATTATTCTAGTAATATCTGTAGGCAATAATTACTAAAACAATGTTATGACTATAAATGAGTTTAGTCTCTTTGAAGCTTGCTGGTGTGCCTTATTCTTCTTCAGTTCATGAATTTTGAGACTGAAGATGGATCTATAGGTTATTTAAATAGATATTTGTCTAGGTTCTGTTTACTAATATCTCATGCAAACCTTTGGGTCTTTTCAAATGTGTTTGGAGTATTTAACATACAGATCTAAGTATTTAGTTAAACATCAGTAGTTTCCTGAAGCCTGGAAAACTGGTATTTGACCCATTTTTCAAAGCTTATGTGGAAACTGGAAATAGTTATGGAAACCTAGTTCAAGAATTTGGTCTCTATTGACTAGTATAATAGATATGCTAAGCCTTGCTAATAATGTTTTTCCATGGCCAGTATGGAGCTTTAGTTGCCTAGCATGTTGATCATTTACTGGCTCTTACTGATTATGCCTTTCATCCAACAGATTATTGGTTGGGCTGCTAATGGTTTTTCCCCTGTTCATTTTCAGTTCGAAATGGTGGACAAGAACATCACAATTTGCAGCATGTTGCATCTACTATGCCTGCTATGCGTGACGAATGCCTCACACAGCCTCCACAGCTTGAGCTTGTCGGTCATTCAATTGTAAGTGTCTTGGGCTCAAGATTCTCTGATGTATACAGTTAGAGGTCCCATAGTTACAGAACTTGCTATGGAAGGATTCCTAGCTTTCTTCCAAACGTTTTGCAGGCATGTGCATCAAATCCTTATCAAGATCCATTTTATGGTGGAATGATGGCAGCTTATGGACATCAACCTTTGGTATGGAAGCTTAGTCATTTCTATCTAATCTTTTTATTCAAATTTGTTCAACAATGGTTGGTCTTTATGGGTCTTTAAAGAAGGTATTGTGGCTCGAATTCACTCTAGTGAATGTGGAAGTTGTTTTCTCAAATGCTTCAATAGGATAGCTGGTGTGTTAGACTCATTAAATCTGCTGGAATTTGAGTAGATTGTTTATAGAGCAAGTTTTTACTTTCATATTACCTGAAGTGCAACTCATTGGTGTTCTGTTGAGGGTGTAGTATGCTGGTTTTCTTCTTTTGGTGGCATGTTAGATGTGTTTCAACTGTTATTTCTAGGATGCATTGCTTTGCTTCTGTTTAATTCTTTTTTCTGGAAATGTTTTGTGACTTCCTAAGATAAAATCCTATGAAACACATGAAGCACGTGCATAATAGTCATTCTGTGGAATTTCAGAATGTAAATTTGTGCTATTAAATAGCGGACATCAAACTCCGTGAATAACTTAAGAGGATCATATGATGACATGAATGTTAAAGACATATACATTAAGTTGAATACCACTTCCAGCTTTAAATAAAGCAAATGCAATTTATTTGATACTTAATTACATATATACATAGAGACATATATACATACATGCATGCATGCATACAAAGAGACAAACATACCTATACATACATACAGACACACTTAGATGCATACATAGACACAAACACAAACACATATACATACATACACGTGCACACAGACAGACACACAACAGCAAAAGACTTATGAAATAATTAATTGGAATGAATCTGGCAATTGCCACTGCTCTATTGAGGCTAGCGGAAGGATGGATGTGTTCATTTCTGGGGTTTTGGATTCTGGAAGAAAGCCTGAAAAAACTCGAAATCCAAGGGTTTTTTTTTTTTTGTTTCCTTTTAATAAATAGAGCTAAACAACCTTGGTGAATGTTCAACCAAGGTTTTACCTCATGCTGTTTTTTTTCACCTTGTGAAGGGGTATTTTGCACAATCAACATACCTGAGCAAACTCTGTATGGTTTGTTTGACAAGTTTCTGCTTGGCCAAATGTCTTATATTTTTTATTGGCATTGCTTTAACTAGCTGGGTTTGAATGGTTCAATTGTAGGATTTGTTGTTTCATTTACACTTTTCCTTAATTTCTGAAGTTATCTTCTAACCAACTCTACTGCAGGGGCTAGAAAATGAAAGTAAAAAAAAAAAGAGGAGAAAAAAAAGGAAGAGAGAGAACCAAATTGCTGAAACTAAATGAAAACTGTATTATGTTTGAAGCTCATAAGTAGGTTCTTGGAGACTCTATATTTGGTGCTAAATTATGTGATCTTTACGTAGATGGACAGTTTTGCAAAGGAAGAGAGAGAACCAAGTTGCTGAAACTAAATGAAAACTCTATTATGTTTGAAGTTCACAAGTAGGTACTAGGAGACCCTATATTTGGTGCTAAATTATGTGATCTTTATGTAGATGGACAGTTTTGCAAAGGAAGAGAGAGAACCAAATTGCTGAAACTAAATGCAAACTGTATTATGTTTGAAGTTCACAAGTAGGTACTTGGAGACCCTATATTTGGTGCTAAATTCAGTGATCTTTACTTAGATGGACAGTTTAGCAGGACAGTGATTTTGGGATGCGTACTGATTAGATGATTAGGGATACATGCTTTTGAATTCCTTTCCAATTCTTAATGGTTAGTAAATCATTGGTCCATGATACAAACTTTTGAATTTCCTCCTAACTACAGCAAGGAAAAACTGGTTGGTGAAACATTGAAAAATGACTACCTAATAAACAATGTCATGTTTTTCTGTTGTACTTTGGAAGGATTTCCTTTTCTTATCTTTGATGAGTTGGTGGTTTCTTTCCATCCATTGCTCTGCCCTTTTTTCTTGCAATTCTTCCTTTCTTTTTGTTGACTTGATGTCTGGGGAGTTGACATGGGATGCCAGTGGAAGGGGAAATCTGACCAAAGCATGATTTCTGTTGTGTTTTTTCTATTGTACTTCGGAAGTGTTGCCTTTTCTTATCTTGATGAGTTGGTGGTTTCTTTCCGTCCATTGCTTTTACCCTGTTTTCTTGCTTTTCTTCATTTCTTTGTGTGGTCCTGGTGTTTTGGGAGTTGACATGGGATGCAAGGGAAAGGGAAAATCTGACTGAAGCATGATTTTATTTATGTTAGCAGGCCTCAGTTACCAAGGCCACCTGCTCTTCTTCTGTTAGTTTAGTTTTTATTTAATATGATAAAGCAAGTCATTCATTACAGTAAGATTTTCATTTAAGTATTTTTTTTGAATGTTGACAGTCAAATCGTGGTACACTTGCTAATAAATAAATGCTTGCAATGACCAGGGTTATCCTCCATTTGTTGGAATGCCTCATGCCAGAATGGCATTGCCCATTGAGATGGCACAAGAACCAGTTTATGTGAATGCTAAACAGTACCAGGGGATTCTTAGGCGAAGGCAGGCCCGTGCCAAAGCAGAACTTGAGAAGAAGGTTGTAAAAGTCCGAAAGGTAAACTTAAAACTGCATACTCGTTTAGTTGGTCAATTATACCCCACTGTCGGCAAAGATAACACCACATTATTGATTATTGCACATTAAACAAGAGATTTTTTTCAAATATTTTATTCCCTTTTTGATATCTCACATTGAATTGCTTGACTATTAAGAGTTTGAATAGTCAGTAACTTGTTCTTTTCATTGTTAATGTGTTGTTTTGCTGTGGTTCAATATGCATGCCTTCTGACCTCTATTCTTATAATACCTAATCTCCATTATCCAACAGCCATACCTTCATGAGTCTAGGCACCAGCATGCTATGCGTAGGGCAAGAGGTAGTGGGGGACGTTTTGCAAAGAAGTCAGATGCTGATACTTCAAGAAAGGGAACAGGTTCAGGTCCTGCCCTATCATATCAGTCCGCAAGTTCATCTGGCTCTGAACCATTGCCAGCTGATTCTGCTGAGACCTGGAACTCCTCCTTCAGCCAGCAAGAAGCAAGAGGGTCCCAAGTGCATGACACCCATCATGTAAATGGCAGTGGCCATTATCAGAATAGAGGTGGTAGCATCTCCTCTAACCAGGCTTCACACAGGCCTCTTGCTATCCAGTGAATGGAGGACACCCGCTGAAAAGCTGAAGGGTGTAACTCCAAACTGTTGTCCGTGGTCACATCTTGGCGATTTATTGTCAAGGCGGCAAATCATTCTTGGCTTTCCTCCTGTGCTTAGGTTGTGGATGGAAGGGGAGAAGGGATTGTATGGGACTCGACATCATTTTTGTCGTGTCACTGCTTTCATCATTTTCCCAGAAGGTGCATTTTTGTACAGATACTGTTTAAATAAACTCAAAATGTAGTTGTAGTTTGTGGGAAGGATTCCATAACAAGCAGATGGCCCTTCAGGTTTTCCGTTTCTTTTGAGTTGAAGACGTTTCCTTTCACAAGTCTGTACGGTACCTACTGCACTTTGTAGATTTTGGATTAGCCGTGTTATGAGTGTTGCATTTTTGAACGTTAACAAATTTGTGAGCTTTGGTGATTAAACAGGGAAATGTGACCATCTTAGGTTATAAGGGAACATGAAAGCACATTAAATATTTTAATGGATATAATAATAGTTGTAAAATTGAATTGACTTAACAGCCCTAGAATTAGCGTGTTGTAACCTATATTTAAAAAGGCACAAATTTCATAACCACCTATCAAGCCTTTATTTTTCAGTTGATATTACACTCGAATTCTTTTAACAAAATCCAAAAGAGGCACTATTAACCATCTATCAAGCCTGACAAGATCTATCACATGGTATCATCCTGAGGTTGATCAGTTTCCTTGGCAGAGTTCACCGTCTCGGAGGTTGCCTTGCTTTCAGTTGAAAAATTGTTGGTATTTTCTGTGGCATTAACCACAGTCTGTTTCTCCATCATCCCGGACAGCGCCAGGCTTGGAGACCATTCCAGGACTTCATCAATTATGTTTGACATCCGCTTCTGATACCTGCAAGAGTGATATAACCATCTTCAGACAAACGATTCCAAGAACATTGGCCCAGAAAAATTCTACAACTGTTTACAATAATAATTGTAGACTACAAATGCCACAATTCTTGACTGAGATTGAAGATGTTTTATGTTTTCCACCACCAAAATAGAAACCTATACACAATAACAACCCAATTTATGCTGAGAACATTATCAAGCAAATGAATTCAAGATTTTCACAAACCATATCAGCCTTTTAAAGCAATAAGATGATTGAACTGCTATGGCCAAAAAAAAAAAATCCTTCAAAAGTAAATATTTAAAGAAGAGCAGATTCGGAACTGACCTTGCTCTAGCAGCCTCATCAGGGGCATGGTGCCTCAGCAACAGTATGACCAACACAGCCACTATTGCATAGAATAGTCTTGCAGTCCATTTTGGTCGCTCTTCTTCATCTTTATTGGGCCAGAAACGGAATAATTCTTGCAATGTTGCTTCCTCAGCAAGGATGTTAGGGAAGAACCAAACACGCTTTCCAAGAATGATCCATATAACACCAAATATTGCAGCTCTCACTGGAAATTTTAAAATTTCCAAGAAAATAGTAAGAAGGAAAAGGCAAAACATGCAATTGACAAATGGTAAAAGCAGACCAAATACAGAAAGATAGAACTGGCGAGTTAAACTATAACTAATATTGGTTACATGAATATAACCTTGAACAAACTCAGATCACAGTGAGGCATTTCAAATCACTTAACTGTTCTAACTCAACAACTATAAGTGCATACATTAGGGGTTTAGCAACGCACTTCCAGTTCTCCCCTACTTTTGATCGAGAAGTGGGTTCTAGGTCCAACATATGTCTTTGGCTCGCTAGTTTACTTCCTTATGGCATTTTGGGTAATTTAGTTTAATACGAATCTTTAGAGGAAAGTGAACCAATAGCAGGACCTTTCCTCTTCCTGTGTAGAGTGAGTTATACCCAGTTTGAATTTTGCTATTGTTTTCAAAAGACCATAGTTCAGTCTGTTTCCCATATCATATGCTATTGATATTTCAATTGACATTCTTTCATGGCATATGACTAAGCATTTCCCTTAATAATCAATCACATCACCACACCTATGTCACCCCCCTCCTTCCTCTCCCCATGCACATGCAAAACAGAGAGACAGAGAAAACCGGGAGGATACAATCTCTACCAATTCTGAAGTTTTTATACTATCAGTGTTCAAGATAGATGTTTATATTGGCAAGACAGACATAACAAATCCACCAATTAGAACAAAAAGGCAGAGCCTACATGCATGTCTGTGTTGTATCAGTAAGTGTGAGAAAGACTATCAATATAATTGCTTAAGTCAAGGGACATTATTGAATCAAAAGTTTAGTTTCGCCTCAACATTAGCCAAAATTTAAACCTTAGAATAAGCAGGATTCAGTGACTAAAAACAGGGGGTTAAACATAGAATAATCTTTATTCAGCAAACAAAGCCTTGAATGGACAGAAAAAAGGCCATGACGACAATAATAGCAACCTTGCTTAATAGGTTTGGAACTGTACCAAAAAAATTCCAAACACTAGTCACCAACCTCAAAATAAAGTAACAACTACTGCTTTCTTCAGCCAGCATTGCCCAATTATATTTGTTCTATAACATGGTAAACCTAAGCAAATTTAGTTTTTAAAAGCATTAAAAGACTTATGATCTAGTAAAAGAACTAATCAAATTATATAAGAAAAGGATCCAAGGCTTATAAATATCAAATAACATCTAGAAAAAATGATCACAGAAAAACTTACAAAGAAGCAAGGAGAGGATAAGTAGCAGAACTCCCGCGCATGAGTAGAGTATTAGTAATTTGCATCGATGTGGATATACAGGAAACAAGCAAATTGCAAGTGTCAACACAGGCCAGAAAAATGAGAGAAGTGTTTGCCATAATGGCCGTCGTTTTACAAATGTCCACGCAAAAAAGGCATCATTTTCAGAGAAAACTTGTTCCTGCACAAAAAGAGGCAGAACATCGGTAAATAAGAAGACAGAGAAAGCATAAGCCAAATAGCCATGGCTAATTGCAAGAACAAAAGAGAGGTTGCTTGAAATGCCAATGTTATCATTCTGAAAGGCACAGATTTTAATTTTTCTAGCAATTAAGAGAAGTTATGATGAAACAAAATGAATAATGTAAGTTCAACCAACCAAAAAAAGTAAGTTACTTTAAGAGTTAATATGAGAAAAGGCATCAGAGCATCAAAGGCACTGAAATTAGGGAGATGGAGGTGGGGTAGGGACTGTTAAATGAACTTTGCAGGAAAGCAAATGATAGCGAATGACCATAAATATAACACTGGATGTCACAGAAAAGTATCAAAGACTACATGAAACAAAAGTTGTCATCTTAATTTAGACCAAAATAGGATCTAGTTAAAAATACTATGCCTCGAGACATTAGAGACTTCAGGCTTGAGGAATGACACAATAACATGGAACAAGTCCCTAGCTTCAAAAAACATAAAAAACAAAATAATACATAATAATAATAATTATAAAAAGAAAGGTTCAAACAGGTGAGATCCTAGGGCACACCCTATTTACAAGTATAGGCCTAAGGTATTTGCATATGGTAATCGTAAAATCTGAAGACTTCTCCTGAAAATAAATTAAAAAAACAAAAACAAAATAATGATATTTAAAAAAAAAAAAGAACAGGTGCATCATAGGGCAGATTACCTGTACAGGTAGTAGCTGCGAAAAGATTAATCTTGCTTTTATCAACAAGATAAACACACACACACACACACAAACATTACATATACACCACATATATACATTTGTGGGTATGTATCAGAAATTCAAGCAGCTACGCCACCTAAAGGAGAAAGCAGGAAGCAACTTATCAAATATTTTAAAGTTAAACAAGTAAAAGACTCACAGGGAAAATTTCTAAATGCGCAGGCCAGGTAGACAACTTTTTCTTCCCCGGACGAACAGTTTTCACCACACGGTCACAGCGCACCAAAAGATTTTTTTGTAACAAACTATTGGCAATATCTTCAATTTCTAGATTTCTATCTGACTCCAGTATTTCTTTAAGCTCCAGATGATTTTTCATAAAGCTTACAAAGTCCTTCCCTCTAAAATATTCGACACGGGTTTCCTGCAAGACAGCCCATCTAGACACCAAATCCTTATGGTCCCTCACCTTCTCAGCAAACAACTGAAACACATCCTTCTTGGCAGCTTGTTTCTGGGTAGAAAGGAAATGATAAGAGAAATTAGAAAACAATAACATATACGAGAATTCATGAATTATGATCAACAATAAGAACTGGCTATTACATGCAAATTGAAGCACAAGTGACCCCAAGATTCATGACACAAAGATCAAAATCAAGCCTAAAAGGCAATACCATCATTTAGTCAGTATAATGTAAACTACCACTGTAAGTCATACTGACCACTAATCACAACACCATCATAGATAGTCAAGCACAATATGTTATGATGGACTTGTAAAGCATTAGTGAGTTAGAATGCAAGTTTGTTTCGCCGTGGAAGCAACATTTCCTGAGTTTGCAGGGCCAACTAATCCGTAACTAAGTCAACATTGTTTCCTCAATTTTTATTGTGAATCACCACTTTAATTCTATCACGTCTTCTAAGTTGAGCCATTTCAGGAAAAAGAATCTATACTCTGTCACTCAAACCCTTCAATTTTTTGGTAAAAGTATAAACATAGGACATCTAAAACTGGAACATTCTAGGACAACATTACCACTCCGAATGTAATAAAAATTTTTTAGGCATATTTCAGACATCCAATTTCGGCCAGTGTCTGAGAATCTATCCTTTCTTCCCTTCTTTCCTTGCTAAAAATAATTAAACAGAACATTCAAAAAATAAAAAATAAATTTAAACTGAAAAAAAAAAGATCCCTTTATATTTCTTGCCCTACTACCCACTCTTCCCCCTTCCCACACCCCCCCCCCCCCCACCCCAACAAAAAAAAGAGTGTACTGCAGTAATTGAGCTGTCCCAACAATTAATACGAATCAATTTCTACCTTTTATTTTTTTCCCTTTATTTGTGATTCATATAAATTAAAATTTTCTTTGTTCAAAAGAAAATGATTGTGGTTCTTACAAATTCATGACAGAAAAAATTCCGATCAAAACCCAAAAAAAAATCTAAAAATGTCAGTAAAAAAATTCGCTAAATAAAACCCTAGATCAGAGAAATGGAAGCAGGGCAAACCCTAGGAGGAGTGTCGACGCTGGGATCTCTGCTGCCGTTTTGTACGGAGGTTGAAGATCTTCGGGCTTTCTTTCTCTGCTCCGCCTGATTTCTTCATTTCCTTTCTCCTTTTCCTTTTTTTTTTTTTGGTTTTTTCCCCTCTATGCTTTGTTTTTCTACCAACGTTTTTTTCCCTTTTGCTTTAATTTTTTTTCCAAGTTTTTCTTTCAGTTTTATTTTTTCGTTTCTGTTTCGTATTATGAGCAAGGGAACGGTATTTCCCATTACACAGCACTATGATTCATTTTTTTATGGTTAGTGACTTGAGTTTAATCCCTGGAGCCTATAGGATTTAGCCATGTCACCATCGTGATGACGTGGATTTTTTCTTTGTTCCCCTTCTAGAGAAACACTGACTAAAAAATCCATAGGAATTAGAATTCAACTCACTAAGTATGTGTACACTAATGATAATATATTTGAGCTCCATGAACAAATTTAAAAATATAATTAAAAATAAATTAGTATAATTACTAATTTTAAAATTTCATCCTATAATAACTTAAAATAAAATAAAAACTTATTTAATTATATCCACCCTAGGAAAAAAATTTTGTGTTGTACATAATTTTGTTCCAACGAAGAATGCGTCTTTTCTTTTTGGCCAAAAAAGAAAAGAGAAGTGTATGTGAACCTTGATTTAATTTTTTGTCTTAAAATTGAAAATAATTTTAAAATTTAATAATTATTTATAGTGAATATTTAGTTAAAAGTAAATGTATTTTGTTATGGATTTCATATCATTAAGATATAGAATAGATCTTAAATATATCAATATGAGTCTTCCACCAATCATCAAACATGTTTTTTGAGTTAAAATTGAGGTTCGTGATTTATAAACTTACTTAATCTCTATTTTAAGGTCTTAAACAGACTTGAATGAAAACATGAATCCATGATTTATAGATTTAGTTAAGCTTTATTTTCAAAGTTTAAGGTCACATGGGAATGAGCTTAAGTTTCGATCATGGTATGGAACAGACTATGTGATCTTAAGTTTCGACCTGTAAAAAGTGATATTAAAACAAATTCAAATTTTTATTAATGTTAGGCTCTCATGAGAGATAAAAAGATTAAGGTAGATTCAAACTAATATAAAAGTCTTTCTCCTCTATTGATAAAAAGCCAATTAAACGCCATTGTTGCATAATTGGGTCTTACATATATAAACATTAATCTTCCATCACTTATCAAGTATGTCTTTTGGATTAAAAACGTAAACTTGTAATTTATAAATTTATTTAAATTCTATTTTCAGAGTTTAAAACCACACAAGATTGAGCTTAAGTTTCTGCCCATAAAAATTTCATAGTTTAATCAATGAGTGGATTTAAATTTTCTGTTTTTTAAAGGTGACAATTACGTGGATCAAGTCATTTTCAAGTTGGGTATTTTGAGTTCAAAAAAATTTATGTTATTTTGGTTTTGAATGTTTTGGATTTTTATTATTGGGATTTGGCATTTGAATTATTTGAATTTGAATCATTTTAAGTTTAAATTTATCTATTGATTAATAAAGAAATATGATTAATATATAATAATAATTTATTAACATTTGAATAATTTTTAATTAAATATGATTATGAATACATTATGAATACATTATTAATATTAATTAATTTAATAATTTTTTTATATGAATACAGTAAGTCACTTATTTCACTAGCTTCATTAATTAAATTATAAACTGTTTAATATATGGTTAATTTTATTATATATTTCTAGCTTTGAGTATCAATATTAATATCAAACACATTGGGACTTGTAAAATATGCATTCATCCGTATACATGACCAAAGACCAAAACTAGGGCAAGTCAAGCATTAATTAAGATATGATAAATCAGTTAATTTGTTAAAAATTACATAAATAAAGGATTGTAGTTGCCAAATGCGAAGCAAGCAATTGCATCCACAGAAAATTAGGAAAAGACATTTATAGCCCTTTGGACGTTTTATCCCGAAATCAAGTCATTCAAGTGGCTATGGTTTAATTCCGCTTCCATCGCCAACATTAAAAATGTTGTCTCTCCATTTTTGCTTGCCTCAAAGCAAGCATCCATCCTCATTTCCTCCACTCTGTCTCTTCACCCCCAAGCATTCAACACCTACATCTCAATGGATTGAACATGGTGGGAATTATGGCAATGCCAAGAAAAGAACGAAGTTATCATCTTCTTGGATTATTCCTGCGGTGGACAATGATTCACAGCAGTTTGAGGTAGACCCAGAAAAGGCTAAAGAAGCCCTTCAAAAGCTTGACCAGCAGCTGCAAACCCTCTCAAAGAAACAAGTTAGCACTCCTAAGATTAGAGGTATGCTCCGCTCTCCCTCTCTGCTGCTTTTTATTTTTACAAGTAATAAATGAGCTTAGCTGTGCTAGCTATAACTCATACAATCCAAAAGAAGCGTAAGCAAAATTAGATTTAAAGTGCAAGAAGTGATGGCCCTTGGCATAAGTTCCTTTACCTTCTTTCGCAATTTATTCCTTCAATTACATATCCTTACTCGTCCAAGTTGTGAAATTCTGACTACATAATGTCTATATATAGGCCTTTGATGTCTTGCTTTGAGCTGTGAAAATCTTATATTAAGGATGAAGCAAAGCTGTGTTATCAGTTAAACTGTTTGTGAAGGGCAAAACGAATAGGTTCGGGCTTTAATTACCCCACTAAGACCGTTTAGTGGATGTACTAATTAATTGGTTTGGGTTCACCTGACCTAACCCATATTTGATCCAACATGTTGAATCGGTTATAATTAAAAGATTCAATATTGGGTCATATTCTCACTTCTACTAGCTACATACTGGAAATAAGATGTACTGCAATACTAGTTATCTATATTTACCAGCATATATGCAAACAAGGGGTCTTTACAAGAACATTGGTTTTTTTCTATTTAACTGAATGCAGCTTCAGATGTGAAACTTGCAAGAGACAAAGTGGTGGAGGATACCCCAGAAATTTCAGGGTCTTTCCTAGCAAATTTAACTGTTGTTCTCCTTATTTTAACAATCTTTTACAATGTATTATTTTACGCGGTGATAAAGCCATCCATAGATGGACCTGATGATCAGTCAGCTCCACAACCTAGC